TACCTCTTTCCTTTCTTCTTCTTCTTTTTCCTTTTTCTCATTTTTCTTCCCTATTTTCTTTCCCTTTTTCTTTCTGCCAATTTCTTCTTCTTCTCTGCCGGTTATTTTTCTTGCTTCTTGTGTGTGTGCGTGATTTTAGAGAAGGAAGAAATGGGTCAAAGGCATTTAAATCCCACTAACTCCAATTTGCAAGAAAAGTCTATCTTCTCTAATATGAGCTAACATTTAAATTCTAAACTTCCCAAAAATATATAAGTAAATTTTCAACTTCAAATTGTATCAAATTTTACCCTCATATATTGTCAATTGTAAAATAAACCCCAATAAAAGATTTAGTCAATTCAAGTCCCAATGAATTTTTGACTATGAAATTTGAGTTATAACAATCGTACCTCTTTAAAAGAATTTCGTCCTCGAAATTCAATTGACATCTGATTAGGTAACGAATAGATGAGGATATTGAACACGCATCTGATCCTCATGCACCCATGTAGCTTCTTATACTGTCTGATTTTGTCAAAGTATCTTAACAAGTGAAACTGTCTTGTTCCGCTGAATTTGCACCTTTCTGTCTAGAATTCTCACTGGCTCCTCTGTATAAGTCAAATTTTCCTTCAAGTGAATTGGATGAGACTTTAGAACATGAGAAGGATTTGCAATTTACTTGCGAAGCATGGAGACATGAAAAACAGCATGGATCCAAGATAATTCAGTTGGCAAATCTAATCTATATGCAACTGGACCAATCCCCTCAGTAATCTCATATGGTCCAGTGTATCATGGACTCAACTTTCCTCGCTTGCCAAATCTCAAAACCCCTTTCCAAAGGGACAATTTAAGAAAAAAAATTTATCTCCTACTGCAAATTCAAGATCTTTCCTACGTCTGTCTGTGTAACTTTTTTGTCTATCCTGAGCTGCTTTTGTAACGCCCCGAATTCTCATAATCCGAAACGTTACGAAACATGAATATACCTTGAAATAAACAGTTTTAATATAACGAGAAATTCTGTAAAAGATTGAATAACATT